ATCTTCTATTCTTATAATGTGCCCATTAGTGAGACCTGTAGAATTAATACAGATTTTAACTTTTAAACCTCTAATAATCTTGGCAATTACTTGGATGTCCCTTTATTTTATGGTAGAGTTAGTACTAAAACCTACATATACATTATAGAGAATGTGCAGAATAAGCTCTCTGGTTGAAAAACTAGTCTCGTATCTATGGCTAGCTGTCTAACACTGATTAAATCGGTTCTTATGACTATTCTTACCTATGCTTTGCAGACTACTGCTCTATGCAGCTCTCTCTACGATCAAATTGACCGGATGGTGCGTGATTTTATCTGGAGCTCTTCAAACGACTTGAAGAAGCCAAGCTTTGTCAATTGAAATAAAATATATCAGCCTACCTCGCATGAGGAAGGGGGGGAGTGGCCGGGGCTGCTGACCAGGCCGCTGACATGGCTGCTGACGTGGAGCTGACGTGGTACAACTTTTTTAAATTACGTTTTGACCCCCAGTTTTCGATTTTCTTTTCAAAAATACCCCCAGAATCTAAATTTTCACCCATTTTTCCCAAAATCAATTTCAATTAAATCCAAATAATATTTTTACCTAATTTTATCATTATTATTATTTTTATTTTTATTAAATTAAATTAAATTAAATTAAATAAATCAATTAAAATTTCAATAATTACAAAATAAACTAAATAAAATAAATTAATAATTAATAATAATAATAATAATAATAATAAAATTAATGGGTGTTACACTAACTCTTGTCAATATGTAAAATTTTTTAAATGTATAAAATAAAATAGATAACATATTCTTTTAAATAATATATACATACATTCATAAATTAAATAATACATTTTCACTAATTATAACACAATGGATGCAACACTAATTATAATACAATAGATGTAACACTAATTGTATACAAATAATAACATATTAACTTTACATATAACTATATCATTATATAGTATTTTTGAGATATTTCAATTACTTAGTCTATTTATTCTGTATAGTTTATAGATATTGAGAGATATGTATTATGCCCTTCTTCATGAATCTTATAGCTGTTGGACACAATTTAATTAATAATGTAGCACCCGGAAAGGAGGAGGAAAAAAAAAAAAAAAAAAAAAAAAAAAAAAAAAAAGGGGGGGCCACGTCAGCAGCCACGTCAGCAGGCTCGGTTAGCAGTCCCGGCCAACCGGGGCCTGCCACGTGGCAAGATCGCGTCACTCCGAAAGGAGCCACGTGGCGATCCGCGTGGGTGCGATCCGACGGCCCAGATCAATCACGCGATCGGACGGCCCAGATTCAAACGCACGGACGGCCCAGATTCAATCAAAAACGAACGGCCCAGATTAAAACGAAACGAACGGCTGTGATCAAAAGGCAAGGGGTTATAAATAGAACCCCCACACCAGACCAAAAACCCTAGCCGCCAGCCGCTCGCCGGAGAAGACGAACCAGAGGCCGACCGCCGCCACCGCCGCCACTCGCCGCCGCACCGGGGAAATTTTCGACCGCCGATCGAGGTAAATTTCATACCCCCGACTCGTTTTTTCCCACTGATTCCTCCTATGGCCAAATCGAAGCCGAAATCCCGGCCAAACGGCCGGAATACGCGGCCGAAGCCCAGCGGCGCCGCCGCGCCCCCTCTCGGTTTTTGCCTCCGACGAGGCCCTTCCCGGCCTCCGTTCGATGCAATTTTTATATCACCGTGATCACCATTCTTTTCTCTACAGGTTGACCGAAGCCAAATCACCAAAACACGAACTTCGCCGGAGAGTCGCCGTACCCGAGAGCGCCGCCGCCGGTAAGCTCCGCTTTTCCGTGATTTTTTGGCCCCCCGAGGGCCCTAGGGTTGTTTTCTGACAAGGACCAATGCGAGTGTGGCCGAATTCGGCCAAAAACGGCCGAAAACAGTCAACCCGAGGCGACTCGCCGCCGCCAGCGGCGGCGCCGTCGCCGGAGCACGGCGGAGCCGCCGTGCCGGAGTTGCGATTTGGGCCGAAAGAGGCCCTGGGCCTAATTTGGATTTTTTTTGGAACCCGTGCAGGTACTGTTAGCGTGTTTCAGTTCCCCGGGAAAAATTCAGGGAAAATTAGGGACAGCCTGCAGGCGCACTGTGAATCGTATTCGGATCCCGAAAATAAGTAAGGACCCCTCACCCTATTTCCTATCACGGTATTAAAGTTCAAAATGATAAAACAGTATTTCTTGAATTAACGCATGTGTGAAATTGCTTAAGGTTGCTAATGGAGCCCGAGTCTAGTGTGATTGATGATTTACTGTTATTTGGCCTGTTTACAGCTTTAAATGCAAAATGAGGTTTGATGTGTTCATTTTACAGATTTGTGTGCATGTACTACGTTTTTATTAATTATGGGTTGAATGACTGAAAAACTGATACTGTATGTTGTCTGTTCGGCATGAATTACGATTTGCTTGTTTAAATGTGAATTGATGATGCTGATTGAGGAAAAGGAAAAATGAAAGATTGTGTAGACTGATAATTGTATTATGGGGGTCAGCCTGACTAGATATCCTGGGAGATGGTGGACGGACCGGGTCCGTAGGGAACCCTACCGGGATTGTGGTCTCACATGCCGGACGGGGTATGGAGATCTTATGGTTTTGGCGCCCATACCGGACGGGGTATGGGGACGGCCCGTTTCACCCTCATACCGGACGGGGTATTGAGGTTTATGGTTTTGGCGCCCATAACGGACGGGGTATGGGGACGGCCCGTTTCACCCTCATACCGGACGGGGTATTGAGGTTCATGGTTTTGGCGCCCATACCGGACGGGGTATGGGGACGGCCCGTTTCACCCTCATACCGGACGGGGTATTGAGGTTCATGGTTTTGGCGCCCATACCGGACGGGGTATGGGGACGGCCCTGGAAACTGATTATGAATGTTAAAGGTTAACGGGTAGCGGAACCCCTATGGACCCCCACGGATACTAGTAGGCTGGTAAATGAGAAAAAAGATATGTTGTACAATGATTGAGTTACAAGATGCGTGATAAGTGTTATGTTTTACAGCTTAGATTATTCAATGATTATGATAATGTTATTGTTTTTCTCATATTATTTTCATAAATTCCACCAAGGTAAGTGGATGGTAAAAGTTTTATTATTGATAAAAGGTTTTGTTGTTAATAAACGAGTTTATTGTAAATTATGCTCCATTGGTCTTTTTGTGGTTTTCTACCCACGTTATCTCCGTGACGGTGAGATATCGTGATGTTCTTACTGGGCTAGTGTAGCTCACTCCTTAATTAACCATTTCAGATCAGGAAGACATGGTTCCCGAGCCCGTTCCGCAGGAGGACGACGAAGGGGATGCCTAGAGACTCTGTAGTCATACGCATAGTTTATTTTCGAGTTTTCTTTCTTAGTTAGTTTAACCTTTTATATTTTAAGTACGTTTGTTTGGTTTTTCGTGTAAGGGATGTTAACTGAAATTTTGATCTCGCTTCCGCATTCGATATATTTAAATACTCATTTCATTTTAATATTTTCCGGGGTCGTTACAAATAAAATATAAAAAGAATATTTTGCTGAGCGTACGTCAACTTTACATTAATACAACAAAAATTAATATATAGATTGAATTGTGTGTGTGTGTGTGTGTGTGTGTGTGTATATATATACCTATAATTAACGTGAGACTTCTATTTGTAGTTGTGAAACCTTGGAGCCATTGGACCAAGTGTGTTTATGGATCTTAATTGTTGAAATTATTTCAAGTGGTTCAACTACAAGTATATTGTGTACCAAATAAAAATTAATTAATTTTTTAATCTTTCTTATCATTTCATATTTAAATAAATTAGGTAACACATTTGTAATTAATTAAGTATAACTAAGGATTAAACTTAAAACCAAACTCTTACTCTTTTTTTTTTTTTGTCTCTTTAATAAACAGAAAGTAATATATGAACTAGAAATAAAATTATGAAGTACCTGAAGAAGAAGATTAATTGTATGGCTTGCTTCTATGTTCCAATAAATTATCTTTTCAGTCCATATGCACCATGTGATGAGATAAACATATATACTCATATCATGGTATATATATATATATATATATATGTATATACATTACCGTCTCCAAATTAATCACCTATTTATGCATTAATATGTATTAATGGCTTCCTTTTCTAGGTCAAGTATATACACCAAACAGACGTGGATGATTAGCTTACAAATTAAGAATAACTTAAAGATAATTTTCCATTAATTACCCAGTCAAATGTGGTAATGAGCATGCAATAAATACAAAGCCCCTATGTTGTTTGACTCAAAAGGCCATGAAAATTGAATCTTTAACACAAAGTTTTTCACGAGTAGTTGTAAGACTACAAGGATTGGTTTAATTCATTTTATTTTTCTAAGAAAAGTAGAGGACAAATATTTAAAATCAACTAATCATATTATAAAGATTACGGTTTTAATTTATTTATATTTTTAAAATAATAAATATTATATAAGAATTTTTTTAATTTTATATTCTTTTTTTTATGAAAAAAAATTATAAATTTAAATCAAACTATATTTTTCAATACGTTCTCGTCATAAAATTATATTTTATGATAAGTATATATATATCACACAATTAGTAAAGTGCTTTTACTTAAAAATATAATTCTTAAATTATGTTGGAAAATTTATAATTTAGAAAATTCATTTTCAAACTTATTCAATAGAGGCCAAGGCCCATAAATGTAAATTATATATTAAGAGATGAAAAAATATTCAGCTTATTTAAAGTTTCTTAATGTAGATCAATGAATTATTCCAATTTTATATGATATTCCATATGAACTCAATGTTAGTTATTTTATCTATAATTTTACTTATTTTTTCACATTAAATTGTAAAATTATAAATTAATTTCACTTTTAACTTGAAATTATTTCAAATATAATCCTAATTTAACTTTTTCAAAAATAAATTTATGACCTCCTTTTTAAAATCAGTAGATATCGCCAAACACTGAAAAGAAAAGGTGTGTGTATATATAAATCCATAAGAGCAAGCAGCCACAAGCCACACCCACCAACACTCTTTATTTGGTATGTTTTTTGCTTAATAACATTACCTCCATTTTTCTTCTTCTTCATCTTTATCTCCTGAAATATATATATATATATATATGTATATATATATCACCAAGAGAAAGAAAAAAGAAGAAAAAGAGAACTAGCTAAACTTTAGTGCATGTTGTTGTTTCCAGAGGTAGATAAGAAGAAACATACACAACTGGCGATGTGGAATATGAAGGCTGTTTTGTTTAAAAAGGTGATGATGATG